GGATGAAATTGTTTAGGGATGAACGGGTTTAAGAGTTTTTAAGAGTTTTAGCCAAATGCTTTATAATATAGTATAGATATACAAACAATATATATATACAAACAGTAACATAAACACTGAAGTAGAAACAAGACGCCGTCAGTTTCTTTCTCCTGGGAAGCCTTCCCCACTTGTGACCCCTCATCTTCGACGTCTCCCCATAACTTTCGGCCTTATAGTCATTATCAGTTGCAGCCATCACCCCCTTCTAGAAAACCACATCCCCCGTATTTAAACCACAATCCCCTTTTTGGGCGATGTCCCCTTGTTCTTCGTCTATGTATACATCTTGTGTGGATATACACACACATATGTATGTATGTATGTATGTATGCATGCATGCATGCATGTATGTATGCATGCATGCATGCATGCATGTATGCATGTATGTATGTATGTATGTATGTATGCATGCATGCATGTATGTATGTTGTTTTCTAATATGAACATGACAAAAAAACAAGGACATTTTTTCGATGTTTTAAACCCTGAGTTAACTAGATTAATGAACTTGTTTAACAGTCGTAAGTGAGAGGGACCTTAGTTGTTAGAAAATAACAACCATAAGGACCATATCCATATTTTCTCGAGTTTAGGAACGATAGTCATAATTTTCGACCTACCACAAAGACCATATTCGTAATTCACTTTTATTTTAATTTGGTCAATTGACTTTTGAAAATTATTAATTTATTTCTTTTTGTTCAAATTAAGATGGTTAATGGGAAAACGATAAGTAACTCTGTTTTAATTACTAAAGGGACTTTGGCGTAGTGATATTGTAGCTTTTGGCCGCCTAGAAGGTCAGGGGTTCAAACCTCACTAAAGGTGAGGAGGGTGTGTGAGTTTATTTGTTGCATTTTTGTGAGATTTGAACCCTTGACCTAATAGGAGGCCAATGACTCACATACCGCTAGACCAAAGTCCCTTTGGTAAATAAATTTTGTTTTGTATTAAAGTAAATAAACATTCTGTAAAGTTCGAATGTTTTTTTCTGTAACCTTTTGAATTTCAAAGACCAAATTAGAAACAAAGCGACCGAAACACATGTTATTTTATCTGTGTAGCCCTAATTATTTTGTGTTAAAGTTCGTATATTTTTTAGCTGCTCGATGATCTGTCCTCGCAAATGCCTTAGTTTTATATGCTTTGTTTCTGTTTTAGTATAGTTGGTTTTGAAAAAAAATGAGTTTGGGCTTCAAATGATGGTGTCTAATTGGTTTGAACTTGGGCACTAAAGGTCAAAAGTGTCTGGAGGTTCCAAGTTCAAATCCAATTAGAAATACAAATCTTTTTGTGACCACATAGGTTCAAATGAGGTGACTTCGGACTACCTGCAAAGCGGGTGGTCGTCATGGGTTTAGTCGGCTCGCATAGCAGGTTGGATATCCAGGTTAATAAAAAAAGATGTTTACGTTAAATTCTTATTAAGTGGTAATAATATTAGTACTATAAGCTAATTAACTGAAAATATTGGCAAAAAGCTTGTTTGGATTGACAACGAAATATTTCAAGCAATTATTAACACACCTTTATTGTTTTAAAGTCTGCTTTAACAGCCCAGTTTCGTCAAAAAGATATCCTCCCCTCTGCAGACAGGGGAAACATCTCAGATTTGACGCCTGAATCGTGTCCGGAATACTTCCGATGGATTCACGAAGATCTAAAACCATGGAAAGAGACAGGTGTCACGAAAGAAATGGTGGAAAAAGCCAGAGAAAAAGCGCATTTCAGATTAATCATTGTCGATGGAAGGTTGTACATGGAAAAATATGATTACGTGTTCCAAACTCGAGACGTATTCACTATTTGGGGGATCCAGCAACTCCTCGAACTCTACCCTGGAAAAGTCCCAGATCTCGATTTAATGTTCATGTGCCACGATTGGCCGCTGATCCTTAAAGCAAATTATCCCGACAACACCAGTGTTATACCGCCATTGTTCCATTACTGTGGTGACGATTTGACTTACGATATCGTATTCCCTGATTGGTCCTTCTGGGGTTGGTAATATTCGCCGTTCTAACATCTTTTTTTAAGTATATAATATTTATATATGACAAATAGAACAAATAAACTCACACACCCTCCTCACCTTTGGTAAGGTCTGAAGCCCTGACCTCCTAAAAGGTCAAAGATTCACATACTGCTAGGCCAAAGACCATTTGGTAACATTTTTATAATCAAGTTAAGTATATTAACCACCGTTAAAAGTAAATTATTACTTTTAGCAAAACGGGAAAAAAAGTTGCCGTTTACAAAGATTGACGCTTTCTGGACAAAAAATATATCAAGACTGAAATTAACTTTTCGACGATCATATCTGGTTTTCTTTAAATTAGCCATTCTTTCTTATGAAATTGGAAAAAAAAAAAAAAAACACACACACACTAGTTTTCACTGTTAAAAAAGCAAACAGTTTGAACTGGGTACGATATATAAATACAAGATTGAAAACCGTGTGTACTGTCTTTTTCGTCCAAAATCATCTTTTTAAAAATATAATGTTTTTATATTATTTTTATAATAAAAATCTAAATACGATTATATATATATATATATATATATATATATATTTACGAGGATTTGGAATAAAATTGAATTTTGCAGGCCGGAAGTGAATATAATGCCATGGGTGAAATTGAAAAAGGAATTGGAAGAAGGGAATCAGAGAAAGAAATGGAAGGAAAGGGAACCCTATGCCTATTGGAAAGGGAATACGCACACGGGAAGTGCTCGGAAAGACCTTGCAAAGTGCAATTCCGATGGTAAACAGGAATGGAATGCCAGAATCCACCATTTGGTAACTATTCAATTACCCATTCCTTTTTTCTTATTTGTCCAAAATCCGATCCACTTTAATCGGTTAAATAAGTTGAATTGTCGATTACATAGAAAACACGAGTAAGGTTTTTTTAAATTGATTATATATCGTAAAAAAACTATATTTAATAATTATTTTAAAAATATTTTTTTAACTTACGGTTTTATATTAATTACAAAAGCTGGAGAAAATGACTCGTTTGAAAGTAGTATAAGGTTTAAACAGATTAAGCCGAAAAATCAGATCATAATTACCCCGACCTGTTTAGAAAAAAGTGGTTTCCGGTTCGGTTCTCAGGTCTAGAAGTTTTAAGAAGTTGGTTAACGGTTCAGTCTGTTGCGGTTTGGTTAAAAACCGCAACTGAACCAGTTTCTATTTTAGTTTTTGAGACGTCACTATTTTGTTTGTATTTTTCAAATTAAAACAAGTTCGAGTATGTATTTCATTTGGTCTAGTTTAAGACCGATCCGATTCTAAACAGAATCACTTTAAATCGTTGGGTTTTTAGTTCCATTATCTATTAGTATTTGGTTCTCGTCAGGTCTGTTTTCAACCCGATACACACCCCTATCGTGTATAAAGATGGTGATTTGCCCCGATTCAGTGAGGAACCCGACTCACCCGACGCAAAAGGGGACAGGGATTTCCCGCAAAAACGGGTTCCGGGGCCCGAGGATCCCCGGTAGACTCAAACTAACGGATATCATTCATGGGGTTTGACCAGGGACAGGATGTTAATCCCCATATCCGCCAGGAACTGAGGGGGGTGCTATTATTAAAAACCGGGGCTGAGGCTGGGGATTACAAAAACCTGCCCCATCCCTGCCCCGTTGTCATGCCTAATTGTCAATATATAAATACTGTATTTTTTTATTCTTTTAAATGAATATTTTTTTTGATAAATTTTGCAGGATTGGGGAAAAGGCTTTAAAGATACAAATTTAGCAAGCCAATGTACCCATAGGTGATTATATATTATTTCCTTTTATACCCCTAGAAATTAATAAATTCTTCTTTTTACCCCCAAAATATAATTTTTTTGCAAGTAGGTACAAAATATACGTCGAAGGAAACGCATGGTCCGTTAGCGAAAAATACATTCTGGCATGCGACTCGATGAGCCTGGTCATAACACCACATTACTACGATTTTTTCACCAGAGGGCTGATCCCGACTGTTCACTACTGGCCCATAAACGAGCACAAAAAATGCAGTTCAATCAAGTTCGCTGTTGACTGGGGTAACAAAAATACAAAAAAGGTAACTGTCGTGTTCTAATACAACACTCGTCAAGTGTTTGCTGACAAACTCTTATATAATAACGATTTCTGTATAATTTGTCTCTTATCGACTCCACATCCAAGAACAATAAACGCTTTTTGTAATGTGGGAAGGCTTTTATCTGTGCAGGCACAAAAAATTGGAAGAACAGGGAGTCGGTTCATTCAAAACGAACTTCAGATGAAGTTTGTGTATGATTACATGCTCCATCTGTTAACAGAATACTCGAAACTGTTCAAATACAAGCCAGTTATCACAAAAAACGCAGTTGAAGTTTGCTCGTGTTTTGGGAAAGGGTTAGTGAAGGAGTTCAAGGAGTTATCGAAGGAGACAGGTCCGTCGAAGGCAGATCCGTGTGCTATGCACCCTCCGTTTGAAGATTTTGAAATTCAGTCTTTACACGAAAAGAAACTAAATTTAACCAGACAAGTTGAGATATGGGAAGAAAGTCAAAGGATTTAACGTACATGACGATAAATGTTTACAAATTTTTTTGTTAGATTTATAATCACGAGAAATTACTGTAATTTGTAATATTAAATTACTGATTAGCATATGACGAGTTGATATCGTATTGCAGTATATATGTTGACACCAAATAGGTGGATAATACATGAATTGTTATACAGATTTGAAGTATATATGTTGAAATAAGAGCCTTTTACGGAAAATGGTGAAGTAAATTATGGTTCGTTGTTGCATAAAATGAAATTTGGTAGACGATCGTTCGGCAAGTGAATAAATCGTTCCATTCGTAATAGAACATAATTACGGTCCTTTACGGGACCTGTTGTGTTCTGTTGTGTGCAATCATAAGGCGTCATCGCCAAAAAAACCTAGAGGTTATAATAGCATATCAAAACTCAAATTTGAGTTTTAATGGTTTACAATGGTGGGTCACAAAACCCTGAACGTAAATCGCTGAAATCAGATTTAATTTCTTAGTACTTTATACTGTATTTTGGAACCATATTAGTTTCTATATTATTTTATAATACGGAAATTATTTTGTGTCATCATTTTAGAAAATCATGTATCTGCCTTAGTTTATCAGTGCAATTGATTTGTAAAATGTTTTTTTTTATTAACCTGGATATCCAACCCACTATGCGAGCCGATTAATCCCAGGACCATCTGTTTTGCAAATAGCCCAGAGTCACCGCATTTTAACCTCCGTGGCCACAAAGGGGATTTTTATTCCTCCTTGGATTTGAACCTGGAACCTCCTGGTACTTTTGACCTTTGGAGCCAAGCTCAAACCAATCAGGCACCACCCTTGTAGTGGTTTAAAATGCTTTCTTTATAATCTACAAGTTCGATTTTTCTGCTGATAATTGTTTAATCATGTATCCCTAGTCTAAAATTATGCGTAGTTTGTATCAAAAGAATATTTTACGATCCAAAAATGACCAATTGTCTCTAAATGTGCTATAAATTGCTCAAAACGCATTTACAACGTTAAAACAAAGCGATCAAGTAGTCAACAAAGGTTTGTCGCTAGCATTTCCGATGGATTCACGAAGACCCTTAAACCGTGGAGGAAAACCACCATGATGAAAAAATGGTCGAAGACGGGAAGAAGTTAGTGTAGTTGTATGTTTTTTTTCTTCGTGGAAATTTCGAAAGATCCATTAAGAAAACCATTTTAATACACATTTTGGGCCAAACCATCGTCCAAGATAAAGTTTTTTTACATTACATCATATATTCGCCGTCCCTCAATCGCTTACTGATATGTTTTATAGGACGGGGCAGGGGCAAGTGTTCTTCAGAATGACTAGGCGTAAAGGGCCCCCAGCTACATGTCCTTTGGACCCTTCGCTCGTCCGCCACCAGTGGAAGCAAGTCATCCGACCTTCTAGAAAAACGGGCTAGGAACCATTTTCAAAGAATAAGACGGGTTTGAATTGACATGTTAAAAACAATAGGCGGGCATAGCGGATTGGCAAAAACGAACTAAATTGGCCTTCCCGGCCCGTTAATGTTTATAATTAATTAAAAATTTTGAAAACCTAAAAACACAATTATCTCAAATGATCATGTTGTGACGACATTTTTAGGTCTTGAAATATTTGGTCATTGAAAAATCCGTATTAATTGCTATAACACTGTTTCAATTTAGTTTCTACTGCTTTTCTACTTATTGTTCAAATAAAAACATTCGGTCAAAATGATTAATTACTTTTCGTTAAACTTCAATTTTGAATTCTTATCAATACTATGAAGAAATCAAAGAAAAAGGATTCCATTTTCTCATCTTCCATTAAATGACCATATGTAAATTTACGATTTTGCCCATGAAATAAATATTTTTCATGATACAATTAAACCCAAGCCAATATCAAGACCGAATTGGGCCAGGCCCGATTGGCCTGGCTCAAGATTCGAGGTCAGGACTGGTTATATATAAGATTATTTTTCGATTTTTTATTTTTTATAAATTATAATACAAGATTTTTCAAGTTATTTTTTTTAAAAAATCAAGATTTTATTCACATAAATCATTATTATAAGTGTATTTTAATACTAGGGGGTGTTTGATTAAGTATATTTTATTCCATAGTTCTTTTATCGTCCACGTCCAATCCAGTTTCGTCCGCATACCAAACGCACTCGTACTGACCAACAACTTGTGTGTAAATTACGAAACTACCCCCAACGCTTTTCAAGCAAACTCAGATGCCAAAATAGCAAATCTATCGAATCTTTAAAGCGAAACCAAAACGAGATTACACATCTCTTCATCTCTCTAGCATCATACTATCGAAAGGGCATTTTAGGAAAAATGTTTCTAAAGCCGGCACGGCACTAGACGCCCGAAAATCGTTTGGATAAAGTTACCATCTTCGCGTGACGTAAAATAGTTGAAGAAAAGTTACCTGAAGTTATGAACTCTTTTAGCAGATAAAAGAGTGTTGGAAAGAAGCATAGCTATGGTCATTGGGCCAACACCCCCAGGAACTGGAGTGATTGCTGAAGCAACTTTGCTTGCTTCTTCATAACAAATATCGCCAACTAATCGATATCCTCTCGGGCTTTCAGGATCCTGTTGGAAGGAAAAACGAAGCCATTATTATGATTAAAAAAACCGTATTATTCATTAAGCACGGTATATGAACACTACAACAAAATTTGGCTTTATAGGATGCCTAGATTGTCAAGGGCATGTTTGTTAGCAACTTAATGAGCTCAATGGGACTCACAGCTTATTCGGTTAGCTAAAAATGATTGTTTGGTAGTGGCTTAATGATATAGAAAGTGGCTTATTTATTTATGCAGAAAGCCAAGTTTCTTCCAAACACCTTCGTCCCAATTAAAAAATACGCTCCTCCCATCAATGAAAATCTTCCCAGTCCATACAGATAGATTAATCCATACAGACAACATTATCCATACAGACAACTTTATCCATACAGGACTTAATGAAAAACCAACCAAACAGCCCCTAAGCGTCCTAATAGAATACTTTATAGAACTCAAGTCCATAGAATCAAACTATAAAGCGTCCTATCTAAAAGCATTATGAAAGGTCTATATGCGTTTTTACAAGTTTTTTAGGATGCTTTATTAGCTATTTTATAGAACACTTTTGAGAATTGTCCTATAAACCCATCTTTTTATAGAACACTTTTTTAGATAGCGTCATCTAAAATAGTTAATACGTCACTTTATTTTAGAAGCGTCCTAAAAACATGTTAAACTGCCTAAAAGAGTCCTATAAGCCTAGTGTAACACTTTAATGCTTTTAGATAGGACGCTTTTTGGTTTGGTCCTATAAAGTATTTTTTTAGGACACTTCTACATTTTAGGCGTCCTATAAAATATGTTTTGTTGTAGTGGAATCCCGTTAGCATCTTGGAATAGTGTTAAACCACGTCATATTTGATAAGAGAGAATCGAGCTACGGAATTTTACAAATTTACCCATTCGTTCTTCTTTTTGGGTTTGTGTTAAAAGGTCGTGTTTGGCAACCATAGACATAGCTTATTCTTTGAGCTTATTGAAAAAGCCCCATTTGGTTAGGCGTAAGCTAGCCTTTTGAAATGCTACGTAGAGTAGCGTTTCAATAAGCTCTAGGAGTTTTATCAAGTTATTCTCTTTTTATTTTTCCAATTAATTATTCTAACATGTATTTTTTTGGTCATTTCACATCGTGATCTAGGGCCTAGGCTATCAGCTAGTTTTAAACAAACATTACTAGTTTATCAGCTGACATCTAGCTTATTAGCAACAACTAACTTTTTAGTTTTCAATTAAAAAGTACAGCTAACTTTTTAATTTTTTAGCTAACAACTAGCTTATCAGCCAACAACTAACTTTTCAGTTTTCAGCTAACCGGTACAGCTAATTTTTTAGTTTTTTAGCTAACAACTAGCTTATTAGCCAACAACTAACTTTTCAGTTTTCAGTTAACACTACAGCTAACTTTTTAGTTTTTTAGCTCGCAGCCAGCTTATTAGCCAAAGGCTAACTTTTTAGTTCTTTAGCCAACAGCTAGCTTATAAGCCAACAAATAACTTTTCAGTTTTTAGCTAACGGGTACATCTAATTTTTTAGCTAACAGCTAGCTTATTAACCAACAACTAAATTTTCAGTTTTCAGCTAACAGCTACAGCTAATTTTTAATTTTTAAGCTAACAGCCAGCTTATCAGCTAATTTGCCAAACATAGCCGAAAAGTCCAGTCATGCTGGGAGATTGTCAAATTATGTTATTTTAAGTAACCAATAAATGAAGTAACAAATAGAGATCCGCCCATTAAATAGTCTACTTGACAAATATTTGATGATCTAACTTAAGCTCAAAAAATCCAATGTGTGGCAGTTTTTTTCCATAAAAATAGTAACATGATCAGGTCAGTTCTGGGGGACTGAGGGTAACATGTACGCAGACCTTATCTCTGTCCCAAAAGACAGAGAGACTATTTCCGAGAAAACGCCCGACTTGAGTAAGAAAACGTGTTCAAATGAAAAAACAAAAACCCGTTATGTCATATTGGCGAACTGCTGACTGTATGGCTTTTGGTAATTAACCCTAGTTAAAAAAATCAAAATTACTTGAATTCTAAACAAGAAAGAGATAATGATGAAAATAAGTGTCCACAATGAAAAACGTACACAATTTTAGAAAAGTGAAATTATCAGTTATCACACTCTTAATGAACTAAATGACAATTTTGCCCTTCAAAATAGAGGGAGTATTAATTTATCCTTCTCATAGTTAAGGGCACAATGGGAAAGTCTGCACTTATTTCGTTAAAGTGGACACTCATTTTGGACAAACTAAAATAGAAACATGGACATTTATTTTGGAACGGAAGGAGTAGTTAATACTAACCTCAACTGGATTGATTCCGACATCAATTATAACTGCGCCAGGTTTCACCCAACTGCCCCTGACCATATTCGGTTGCCCGACTGCTGATATGACGATATCGGCTTGTCTAGTGATCTCCTCGGGATTCTTCGTTCTTGAGTGAACAATACTTACGGTAGCATCTTCTCTCTATAAAAATGATAAATGATACATTTTTAGGGTTCTTGCGTGTTTGAATAGTCAAAACCAAACTAACCCAGTAAATCTCACATGGGGCCTGTTTGTTAGCAGCTTAATGTGCTTAATGGGACTCACATCTTATTCAATCAGCTATATGTGACTGTTTGGTAGTGGCTTAATGATATAGAAAGTGGCTTATTCAGTAAGCTTCTAGGGGAGAGCTTTATGCAGAAAAAACATGCTCCTTCCATCTATGAAAAAACCCTCCAAACAAAAACCTTCCCAATCTATTCAGACAAATTAATCTACACATACAACTTTTTCCATACAAGACGTAATGAAAAACCAACCAAACAGTCCGAGTAGGGTCCAGTGGGTGTAGGATGTATCCAGACCTTGCCTCTACCCTCTCTACCTTGGGTAGAGACACTGTTTCAGTGAACCCCCGGCTTGCAAAGCAAAAATTATAAGAGAAGCAAACAGACCACAAGGTGAAAGTGCATGCAAAGAATAAAGGGGACGGAACCCCAGAAAAAACTATTTCAAAGAAAGAAAACATTTATAAATAGTAAAGTGGGCATACCCAATAGGATTCAAAATTTGTCTACCCAAAACATGCTTTGAGAAATTCGTAATAAGGTAAAGCTACATCGGATGGGCCTGTTTGTTAGCAGCTTAATGAGCTTAATGGGACTTAGCTTATTTGGTCAGCTATACATGGATGTTTGGTAGTGGCTTAATGATATATTTCAGTAAGCTACTAGGAGGGAACTTTATGCAGAAAGCCAAGTTTTTCCCAAATCTGCTCCTCCCAATTAAAAACATGCACCTATGAAAAACCCTCCCAAACAAAAGTCTTTCCAATCCATACAGATAGATTAATCCACACAGACAGCTTTATCCATACAGGATTTAATGGAAAACTAACCAAACAGCCCCAGTAGACTTACTTGAAGTAAGAGAGCAGCAGGCATTCCGACAATGTTGCTCCTGCCAATCACGACTGCCCTCTTCCCTTTGATAGGGATGTCATATCTATGCAACAACTCTATGCACCCTTTTGGTGTGCAAGGAACAAACAACGGTTCTCTCCCACGCATGGCTAGACGACCGATATTCAAAGGGTGGAATCCGTCAACGTCTTTCTCGATGCAAACAGCATTCAAGATGTTCTGCTCATTCATATGCTGATCCAAGAAGTGTATTAGAGTATATCAACGATCAATCTATATCTTTACCACATACTCCCTCTGTACCAAAATAATTGTCCACAATGAAAAAGACAGTTTTAAAAATGTGTAATTGTTACACTTGTTAATGAACTAAATGACTTTTTCCCCTTAATAAGGGTAGAAGTAACAAATCTCTCCATCTTATAATTAAGGGTAGAATTGGAAAGTAGGCACTTATTTCTAAATTCTATCAAGTTTCATCAACTTTGCCCTCATCCTCTCTTTTCTTGTCCATTTTCCTATTTATTTGTAATCCATAAGATTCAAGTTCATAGGGTGCGTTTGGTACACTGGACATGACAGAACAGGGATCAATGTTCCACGTTTGACAAGACTTTAATGCGAAATAAATAGGAATAGAGTGGAACAAACTGGAAAAGGCGTGTTCCACCCCCACTCCATGGAACAAGGTGGAACAGACCTATATTTTACCAATATAACCTCAAAATAAAACCTAATTTTCTTCTAAAACATCAAATATGCTTCCCTCTTTATATTTTATTCATTCTTTAAATTTACTTTATTGTATTTTATGCTCTTTAAACTTTCACTTTTCTGTCCTCAAAGTATTATTTGTATATGGTTTCTATAACTTGACTAATTTATGTACTTTATTAAATATTATTCATAGAAAAATAATATAGAAAAGGTATAAAATAAAAATGGGAAACTACATAAACTTTTTATTTTGGTGTCATTTTAATCATCATGACGAAACTTCCTAATGATATATTTTGTTATAAAAAATATTTATTTTATTATAACTTAATAAATTACATAAAAAATTAAGCAAAACATATAAACAACTCATTAAGGGTAAATTGGTCATTTTATCTATTCTGTCATGTCAAGTTCTGTCTTACCAAACGCTGAACAATTGTTCTCTCCTGTACACACCAAATGCACCCAAAGTGATCAACTTTTCCAACCATGATTCTTCCAAAAGTGCAAAAGGTTCAACAAGTCAATAACTCGTATTACAAATATGAAATTAGACCCGTTCATGTTAATTTGACACAAATTCATAAAATTTAAAACAATAAGCCGATAAAGAACTCAGAAGCTTACCGAAGGCAAAGGTAGCTGGACAAGTATTCCATGAACAGAAGGGTCGTCATTGAACTTCGAAATGTGCTTAAGAACTTCTTCTTCAGAGGAATCTTCAGCTAACCGTACTTCATAAGAATTAATCCCGACAGAGTCACAAGCTTTCTTCTTGTTACGTACATAAGTTGCTGAATCCTTCCTATCCCCAACAAGAATAACTGCCAACCCGGGGACAATTCCTATTTCATCCTTCATTCTCGATATTTCAACAGCAACTTCTTCTCGTATGTCTTTTGCAACACGCTTTCCGTCAATAACCGTTGCAGAGGCCTCGTTGTTTAACTCTATGGCTGCAAGATAAATAATCTATGAGGTTTTTAATTCTTGATTCTAAGCGATGCATCTTTTGACATTTTTTAGGCCGTCTAATGGGGACAATTCAGGTCACTGATATTCAATCATCTGAACTTCTAAACTTGCATCTTGCAATAATTGTACAATTCTGCAGCATTTCTTTGTTCGTTTTCTTTTTGTCCTTTACCATGTTTCGATCTCAATATTGGGAAATTGACCAAAATAGCCAACCTCCCCAATCAACTTCACTTTTTAGCAACTTTTTCAACTAAATTCCCATTTTAGCCCGAGTATGCAAATGTCTTATGCATTTGTGTAAACTCGATTTTCAGATTTACAAAAAAAGGAAAAAAAAATTGCGTAAAGATTCAAAATTTTGCATAAAGAATCCTTACGCATATGCGCAAAGATTTTTTTATTCTTCCAGAAATCAGTCCTAACTCAAATGCGGCAAGCATCTGCATAAAGACCGGCTATTTTGGGAAGAGGCTTTGAAAAGTGGCTAAAAGTGAATTTGGTTGATGCCACTACGCCCACGAGCAGAATCTTAGCTTGAGCCTACCTTCACACACCTCCATTGCTCATTAAGAGGATTGGCTGTTTCAATCAATTTCCAAGAAAGATTACATAACTTAATAACACCACGACACTGGAATTTTATGCATCCAATTATGATTTAAGATATAATCACTGCACAAAAAAATTCTTTAGGGTTTAACAGCTACAAATCTACATTAATTATGCTTTCGCATCAAAATTAACCAAAATTGGGACATAAACACAATTGAAAAACAGCCATTACAAACACTGATCTTGCAAATATAAACACCTCCATTCCATAATTCAAAACTTTTAAGATCAAGCAAGCTGACTTTCGACTTTAAAATTCCATTTAACTTCATAACTATAAAAAATAGAAAATTTCTGCTGTTACTATCAACATATTTCCTTATCAGCAAGCGAGAGATATGAAATTAATCAAATGGCAAGGAATTATGCAAGATGATAACGAGATGAAACCAACACAAGCACACGCAATTGGACCTTTCAGCTTCAAAATTGATATGAATACTTCAAACCTAACAAAAATAAACTTAGAGAACTAAATCGATGACTGAATTTACACCAGAAAACCATTTCAATTTTTGAATTTTAAAGCTAATATACTAAACCTTAAAATCCATATGGAAATCATCAGCAACAATAAAAGGGAAATTTACCGCTGATAGATGACGATGAACAGTGAGTGATGATGGTTCTGGAAAATCTAGGGTTAGAGATTCCAAATTGAAGGGAATTTGAGCGGTGAAATCGGGAAATGGTGTTCGGAAGCTTCTGAACTTTGGTGCTCGTGAAGTGGAGAAGCCGAGCTGTTGAAGAAGAAGATGATGATGATGAACAATCGGTGAAAATCATAGTTGCTGCCATATCCATTAACGCCATTTTGAGTAATTTACAGGTTGCTTGGACCCTCAAACCTATAATTGCTCAGGAACTGAAATTAGGGTTTAAGGTTTTTGGGGGAGAATTTAGGGTTTCATGAGGATGGCGTAGACTGTACCTGGAAAGTAAAAAACATTGTGTTCACAAAAAAGGAATTCGAATTTTAGAAAAATATTTTAATTAATTATTTATTTTAATAATCATTAACATATGATATAAATAAAAACTTGTTATTGGTATATTAGAAGAATGCTCGTATAATATAGTAAGATATATCTCAATTTTAATGTTTTGTTTTATTATTTATTTATGTTGATATAATACGGTTTTTAGTGGTTTTAAGAAAGCGATAATACTTTTATTTTTGAATAAAATGTAAATATTAATATATCATAAAATTTAGAAGAAAAAAAATATCGATATTAGTATCAAATTTACTAATTAAAGTTCTCGTTTTTATGTAATTTATGTAGTTCAATGTTTTATTTATAATTTAATTTAGATTTAATAACGAATTAATTTATTTATCATTTAATAATATAATTTTTATAAAGATAATAATAATTATATTTTAATTTATTTTATATTCAAAATGAGATGTCTATCACGTATTTGATTATGTTTATCTATAGTTAGTTACACAAATTAAAAAATGAAGCTTTAATAAATTGTACTTATGCATGATTTACTTGTAATCTTGAATTTTAAGTAATATATATCAATAGACAGTACTTTATGTATAAAAAATGATTTTTAAGAGTTCTTGTCAAAGGTTTTATAATATAACTAAAAGGGTACTCGCGCAATACAGCAAGATAAATCTTCATTTTAATGTTTAGTTTTTATTATTTGTCTCTATCGAYATAATACGATTTTAAGTGGTTTTGAGAAAACGATAATGTTTTTATTTTTAAATAAAATATAAATTTGAAGATCGCATAAAAAAATTTAAAAAATATAAAATCGACATTAGTATTAAATTAACTATATAATAGTTCTCTTTTTTTGTGTAACTTCTTTAATTTTATCTTTTATTATAACTAGAAAGGTACTCGCGCAATGCAGCGAGATACATCTTGATTTTAATGTTTCGTTTTACATTTTGGCTCTATCGATGTTATAATGCGATTTTATGTGGTATTGAGAAAAAATAAAATGTTTTTATTTTTGAATGAAATATTATATTTTTTTTAAAAAAAATAAGCGAAATTAGTATTAAATCAACTATTTAAAAGTTCTCATTTTTTTTTAATTTTTTTTTTATTATAATTTAATTTAAGTTTAATAATGAAATGATTTATTTTTGGTTTAATATTATAAATTTTATAAAGATAATAATTAAGTATTCTGTT